TGGGGTAGGGAGGAGGAGCACGGGAGGAATTGGTGAACTCTAGCTAAGGAGAGAAAGGCTGCAGGGGATTAGCAAGGATGGTGGAATGTGATGGACATCATTATCCAAAGAACATGTCTGAAGATACGAATTGGTGTCAACGTACTTTATATACAACCAGAGATATGAAAAGTTGTGCTGTATACGTGTAATAAGAGTTGTAATGCATTCTGCTGTCATTTTTTTTTAATCAATAATAAAAGAATTTAGGAAAGTATTACGCTGAACCAGACTCATCATAAATTAGATTCTAAACTCTGTTAGGGTGGAGCCTTCTCCCCCCATCACCATTTCATTTACAGCAGCTAATACAATGTTCAGCACATTGTTTAAGCTAGGAATTCTTGAATTGCAAGGGACACAGAGAACACTGAACCATGTAGGTCTTCAGTGGGTGTTTGTGAGGGAAGGAAGGATGGAGCATCCACAGCTCTGAGCTTTAACGCGGCTGCTGCAGAGCTGGCCAGGTGCCTGCTGTGCGAGTCCCTTGTCCTCTCGTGTCTTCTGTATATAGTCCAGCTGGGTGGCGAGTCACTGCACTTGCCCGTTCTCTAGAGCGTTGGTTCGAGTCCCTCATCAACCAGCTCGCCAGCTCTGAGCAGTTCCTGGCCACTAGTAATGTTCTCAGGGTGAGCAGCCTTACACAGAGACTTAGTACATTTTCCTCATGTGGGTCACCGGGATTCTCTGCTTAAACTACCTTAATTAAGGACATAGATGAGAGAACTTTAGAAAGAAGGGGATGGGATTAGGACTAAAAAACAACAACAACAAAGAATTATCACTACACATATCAGCAAAAATAAAAATAACATTTTCACTATTTAAGAATTTCAGCCAGTAGTACATGCCCATAATCCCAATTACTTGGGAGGCTGTAGCAGGAGGATCACAAGTTCAAGGCCAGCTTGAGCAGCTTAGCAAGACTCTGTCTCAGAAGTAAAATTTTTAAGAAGAAAAAAGGACTGAAATGTAGCTCAGTTGGTGAGCTACATTTATTTTGTCTCGCATAGCATGTGCAAGGCCCTGAGTTGGATCCCAGGATCACATAGAAAACCAATAAATTTCAGCGCATCCTCATCTCTGAGAAGGGCTTGTCATTTCTTTGTAACTCAGAAATGCAAATTTTAACAATGTCTTTGAGGCTGGGGGCTTAGTTCTGCATAGCTGTGGCTGGCTCTGAGTTAGATTTTAACTCCAGCACTG